GAGCTGGGGTGGGGGGGGCAGAACGGGGCCGGGGAAGGCCGGGGCGACCCTGTGGTCAAGATCGCTGTGGATGGACCCCCGCTACACGAGTTTGACTTTGCGCTGGCCGTGGAGTTTTTAGAGAGTGGGTGGGGGGAGGGGTTGCTGGGGTCGCAGCTCACGTGAGGGTGGCCTCCTTCCCTCTATCCAGCCAGCCTGAGGCCCTGGGTCCTCTAAGGGCCAAGCCGGACTTGCCCATGCTGCATCCGAGCTGCCGTACTAACTGTGGCCTTCCGTTCACCTTCCCCATGCTTCTGCTCCACGCTGAGGACTAACCCAGCCCTGTGGGCTGTGTCTGTGGCTGTGGGCTGTGGAGGAGGGCCTAGGTCAAGGGGGGCCCGGGCAGTGGAGAGATGCTAGGGTCTGGGGCACCCGAACTATTGCTCCTGACCATTCTAGAGTTTGGTGAGGAGTAGCTCACCCTTTTCCCTTTGGATTCATCCCACGTTTTGGCCTTAAAAATGTGGGGGGTTCTTGTTTGGAGGGAGGAAGGCTGGGGCTCCAGATTTAAGGGATTGAGGGAAAGTCGAATGTGGTCCTTGCCTTTCTCAGCCCCACTCCTGGCAGCGTCTCTTCTCTTCAGATACGACCGGAAAGCAGACCACGGTCCTTGTCTCTGAGGCGGCACAGCACTCTGTGCACAGCTAACAGTTCAAGGGAGGCGGTGCTGCCCTCCCTGCCCGCCCACCAAGGCCGCCCGAGGCTTTTATGTATAAGACCATGTGTATAGACAGATCAATCTATAAATAGGAAATAAATCTATCCTATTTTTCATAATGTAACACATAAATCTAAAAGGACTTCTTTTCGTTTTGCAGTGATAGGGTCTAAAAAAACGTCCCAAATGAACTGGACTTGTTACTAATTTTCTTCTTTTTTGAAGTCTGGTTGTTCTCCCAAGTTCCTTGCCTCAGACCTTTAAGACCAAAGACTGTAAAACCACAGTGTTCCCGACCCCCCACCGCTCCTCCACCCCTCAAGGCCTGACCCAGGGATGCCAACGGGGGGCTTTGTGCCTCCTGGGGGGAAGCAGTTGAGGCCTCACCAGCGCTGGGGGACACATCCCTTGAGATTCCAAGGGTTTCCCATCCTCTCTGACAGCCCTTGCTGGGCATGATGTGGGGCTCTGGAGAGGGGAAGTGAGAAAGGGGGGGGGGCGGATGACCTTTCCCCAGGCCTCCTGGGTTTGGGTTTAATTTGCAATAAAGAGGAAACCCAGCTCATGTGCAGTCTCCATGGTGCTGTGTGTGTGTCGGGGGCCTGCCCTGACGCCTCTGTCCCCTCCCTTGGCCTGGCTCCCCTTAAGCATTCATCGGGGCCTCTGTAAGGGCAGGAGGGTCATCCTTCTGTGGATTCCCTGCTTCTGCTGCCCCAGTTGTGGAGAGGAGAGGCACAGAGATGGGCTGTCATTGTCCTGGGTTTGGCCAGGGCTACTTTGTGACGAGGGAGACAGGAACTCTGTCCTGGCTTCACACCCAAGAAGCCCATCCGCTTCTTCTGGCTGTGGGGGTAGCATTACCCTGTGGCTCCCCATTTCAGACCCTGCCCTTCTTCCTCCTGCAGCAGGCCCAGCATCCAGCACCCCCAGCCCCCTGCTGGCCTCCCTGCCCCTGGCTGCCAGGCCTCTGCAGCCCCCGCTGGACTTCAAGCACTTGCTCACCTTCCACTTCAATGGCGCTGCCCCGCTCAGCCTCTTCCCCAACTTCAGCACGGTACGGGCTGGGCTGGCGGGCGGGGGGCATACAGCCAAGCTGGGGGTGGGCATGGAAGGTGGGCTCAGATGGGCCGGTTCTCAGAAGGCGGGTCTCACCAGGAGCTCATTTTCCTCCAACATCCCCAAGAGACTAGGTGCTCCCAAAATAGAGACCCCCAGGCCCAGCTCTCTGGGCAAGGGGAGGAGAATGGTGCCCCCCCAGGAACAACTGCTGGGCCTGTAGGGTCTGTACTGTAGATTTCACTTGAGTTTTGGTGTAGGGACTTCTATGGATGATTTGTGTGTGCAATTGAGTGTGCCTTTCTGTGTTAGTTTGTAAATCCATAGGTCTTTGTGTGTTATTTGTGGATGTGGATGTGTGTTGGTGTCCTGTGTGTGTGTTTGTAAACAAGTCTTTGTTTCTCCGTATGTAATATGTGTGCATGGGTAGCTGAGAGATGTTCTGTGTCTTTGTGTTGACTATGTGTGTTCTGGTGTGTGTCTGACCTCTGAGTGTGTTTTGTATGGGTTGGGTGATTGTGCCTTTGTCTGTATGCCATTTGTGTGTGTATTATTCTGCATGGCACTGTAACCTGTAACTGTCTGTAAGCTCATGTGCTCTCTGTATCCTAGTCTGCGTATTTCCATGTGTGTATGTGCGTGAAGAACAAGGGTAGTGAGCATGAATTAGACTTCACTACATGAGCCATAAGGAATGCTACCCCCTTTTTAATTTTGAAAAATCAAATGCAATCATCAGTGAGCCGCACCCACCCTGACAAGATGGTGGGGAATTCGGCCTCAGTCACCCTGAGGAGTCCCTTCCTTCCTGCCTGCCCTCCAGGGCTGCACAGAGGTTCCAGGAACCTGAGGCATTTGGGGAGGGTCCTCTGGTCTTAGGTTTCTGCTGTCACTTGCTGACATGCTCACTGTTCAGGCACATGGACCCTCAGGTGAAGCGCTGTTGTCCTGATCGCTGGGGGCCCTGCAGGCCATTCTCTGAGGCCCTGTCCCCTGCTGCCTCGGCCCTGGTTGCTGTGGGAATTAGAACCTCTTTCTGTTCTCAGGGAAGTTCCTGAAACCATGCTTTTCTCTCCCAGCCTTCCTGAGAGACGAGAACAGAAAGTTCTGGACAAGCAAGCCCAGATGGCTTCCGCTTTTGGCCCAACAATCTAGGCCCCTGAGAAAAGAGAAGAAAAAATTATTTAAAATAAGAAAAAGAAAAAGACATACACATTAACATTCCAAAGAAATGATTCCACTACTCAGGGCCTCTACCTGCTGTCACCTGCCCCATCCTGGCCCCCCACCGCCCCTGGCCGGGGCTTCCTCTCCCTCTCAGGCCCTGTGGCAGTGGCAGAGCTCATAAGATGAGCCTGATCTCCCCAGCCATTAGGTCCAGCACAAGGCTGGGTTACGGGAGAGGAAATTCCAACAGAGGGATTCTGTCCCTTCCCTGCCTCTCCCTACCCCCAACAATCTGTCCCCATGTATGATTCTTGTGAATGAGAAAAACAAAACAAAATCAGAGGCCAGAGGCAGCAAGAAATGCCAAGGTTATCACCAGGACATGGTTCTATCTCTCAAGATCATGGAGGGCACGTTGGCCATCCCCCTGCCTCCAAGCGGAAGCCCAGGCTGACAGATAAAGTCTGCCAGGGACCAGGCTGTTTCTTGTGTTGGGTCTGGCATCACAAGGATGGTAAAGTTCTTCCTAAGGGTGCCCACTGCCCTCCTTGATAGCCTTTAGTTCGGGGCGTTTTGAACTGCCCCTTTCCAGAGGCAACCCCGGAGTTACTGTGCCCTCCCACCCCTTCACAGATGGACCCGGTCCAGAAAGCTGTCATCAGCCACACCTTTGGGGTCCCCTCCCCTCTGAAGAAGAAGCTCTTCATTTCCTGTAACATCTGTCACCTGAGGTTCAACTCATCGGTGAGAGGGAGTAGTGGAAACATGCTGGGGAAGGGGCTGGGCAGGGAGAGGGCTGGAGACTGGGCTTCTGGGATCTTTCCTGGAGGAATAGGCATAGCAAAGGGGCCGTGGTCTCAGATTTCTATCCGTGGCTGCAAAAGAGGCACTCCTGGTCCTTCATCCATCCATCCCCTTCTCTATCCAGAGTCCTCTGCCCCGTTCCTCTTCAGTCCCACTGGGACTCCATTTCCCTCCTGTGCTTCTCCCCTGTGTTCTGGAACCTTCTGCAAGAGAGAAGACTTGCCCGGCTGGCGTGGCTCAGTGCTTGAGCGGCGACCCATGAACCAGGAGGTCACGGTTTGATTCCCGGTCAGGGCACATGCCCGGGCTGCCTGCTCAAACCCCAGTAGGGGACGTGCAGGAAGCAGCCAATCAATGATGTTTCTCATCAATGTTTCTATCTCTCTCTCCCTCTCCTTTCCTCTCTCTAAAAATCAATAAAAACATATTTTTAAAAGAGAGAGAGTGTGAGAGAGAGACATTGCCTTTCCCCACTCTGGTCCCAGGAGCCACCCATCAGCTCCTGGTTTGGAGCTGAGTTTTGTGTGTTTTTTCTTTTAATATGTTGTTGTTGTTTTAACAATTTTTATTTATTTATTTGAGAGAGAAAGAGAGAGAGAGAGAGAGACATAATGTGTTTCCACTTATTTATGCATTCATTGGTTGATTCTTGTATGTGCCCTGACCAGGGATTGAACCTGCAACCTTGGATGACACTCTAACCAACTGAGCTACCCAGCCAGGGCAGGAGCTGAGTTTTTGGGGTTTTGTTTTTGGTTTTTTGTTGTTGTTTTGTTAATCCCCACCTGAGGATTTTTTTCCCCTATTGATTTTTAGAGACAGTGGAAGGAAGGGAGGGAGGGGGAGAGAGAGACAGACACAGAGAGAGAAACTTGAATGTAAGAGAGACACATCGATTGGTTGCCTCCCACACACGCCCTGACTGGGGCTGGGGAACCAACCTGCAACCCAGGTATGTGTCCCTGACTGGGAATAAAACCTGCGACACTGTGGTGTTTCTAACCACTGAGAAACACTGGCCAGGGCTGGAGCTGAGTGGGTTTTTTTGTTTTTAATTTATTTCAGAGAGGAAGGGAGAGGGGGAGAGAAATAGAAACATCAATGATGAGAGAGGGCCACTGATTGGCTGCCTCCTATACGCCCCACACTGGCAATGGAGACCACAACCTGGGCACATGCCCTAACTGGGAATTAAACAGTGACCTCCTGGATCATAGGTTGACACTCAACCACTGAGCCATACCAGCCTGGCAGGAGCTGAGTTCTTAAAGCACCTGAGAGTTTAGAGACTACTAGAGGCCCAGTGCACAAAATTTGTGCATGGGGGGGGGTCCCCTCAGCCCAGCCTGCACCCTCTCCAATCTGGGACCCCTTGGAGGACATCCCTCTCACAATCCTGAACTGCTGGCTCTTAATCGCTCACCTGCCTGCCTGTCTGGTTGCCCCTAACTGCCCACAATCCTGGACTGCTGGCTCCTAACCGCTCACCTGTCTGCCTGCCTGATCGCCCCTAACTGCCCCCCTGCCAGCCTGATCACCCCTAACCACCTCTGCCTGTCAGCCTGATCATCCCTCACTGCCCCCTCTGCCAGCCTGGTTGCCTTCATGGCCTACCCCCCCACCCCTCCGCCGGCCTGGTCACCCCACGCTGCCTGGTGTTCAGTCGTTTGGTCGTCCCTCACTAACCCCACTGCCGGCCTGGTTGTAGGCAGCCATCTTGTGGAGGCGTGAGGGTCAATTTGCATATTACCTCTTTATTATATAGGATGTTTGTTCGTGCCTATTGTCTTAATTAGTTCTCATGATACAGCTGTGAGGTGGATAGAGGTGCAATTATCATCCCCTTTTCAGATGAGGAAACTGAGCCTCAGAGAGGTTGAGTAACCTGCCTGAGGCTACACAGCTGGTAAGTAGCAAGGCTGGGATCTGAACCCAGGCCTGGCTGACCCCAAGGCCTGCATACTTTCTACCATAGCCTGCCCCTGGATCGTGAAGGGGCCTCTTCCTGGCTTCTCGGGGAAGGTTTACCTTCTGTCCGGGCAACTCTGGGATTTGGGGAGATGCTCTCAGCTGACCTGTTCTAGTGAAAGTGTCCAGGGAGGGGCCTGTCTTTGCTGCATTTGGGAGCAATAAGCAGGGACCCCTGGTTGAAGGAGGGAGGACACTGCCAGGCTAGATATGGGGGCTCCTCCAGGCTTTCAGGTTACAAGTTGTGAACCAGCTGGACAGAGAGACTTCCCTCGGAGAGAAGATCTATGTGTTCATGCTGGGCCCCTTCGCAGTGCCTGGCAAATGCCAATGCTCAATAACTATTTGTTGAAAATATGAAAAAGGGATGAATGGTCTGCGGTGCACATGTCCCAAAGGATGAGGATTGCTCTGTTTTCTCCATTTGTGCATTTGTAAACTTGGTAACTAACATTCATTGAGCACCTACTGTATGAACGAGGCACTGATCATTCAGGTTCTCATTTAATTCTCACAATCCTGTGAGGCCAGTGTTAACGCAGAGTTTGAGTGAGGACACCGAGGCTCAGAGAGGTGAGGTGACTTGCCCAAAGATGCACAGCTACTCAGTGGCTGAGTCAGAATTTAAAGCCAGAGGCTGCTTGCCTGGGAGCTCACGTATGAGAATGTGTTCTGTAAACCTCAGGGCCATGCACATACTGTGATGATGATGGCAGTGACAAGGATTCGCTCCTTGTGTGGCCCGAGCCCTGCCTCCCTCTGACCTGCCCCATGTCCAGTGCCAGCTTGTGGATAGGACATGTAGACTCAGAGAATGAATGGTGACCCTATGCCCTCCCCGCCCCAGAACCAGGCCGAAGCACATTATAAAGGCCACAAACATGCCAGAAAACTCAAGGCAATTGAAGCCGCCAAGAGCAAGCAGAGGCCCCAGACCCTGGCCCAGGATGGGACACTGGTGTCTCCGACCCCGACCGTGGCCAGTGGAGCCCCCGAAGAGCCGCAGCGCAAAGGTCAGTCCTGAACTCTTCTCCCCGTCCCCCACTCCAATCTGGTTTCTGACGAGGGGTTGAGAGATGTCTTTTTTAAAAAATATATATTTTATTGATATTTTTACAGAGAGGAAGGGAGAGGGATAGAGAGTTAGAAACATCAATGAGCGAGAAACATCGATCAGCTGCTTCCTGCACACTCCCTACTGGGCATGTACCTTGGTTGCAGGCCGGAATCGAACCTGGGACCCTTGAGTCTGCAGGCTGACGCTCTATCCACTGAGCCAAACCGGTTAGGGCAAGAGATGTCTTTTTTTTTTTTTTTAAATATATTTTATTGATTTTTTACAGAGAGGAAGGGAGCGCTCTATCCACTGAGCCAAACCAGTTAGGGCAAGAGATGTCTTATTGTTATGTCTGCTTGTGCTAGAACAGTGATGGCGAACCTTTTGAGCTCGGCATGTCAGCATTTTGAAAAACCCTAACTTAACTCTGGTGCCGTGTCACATATAGATATTTTTTTGTTGATGTTTGCCATAGTAAAACAAAGATTTATATTTCTGATATTTATTTTATATATTTAAATGCCATTTAACAAAGAAAAATCAACCAAAAAAATGAGTTCGCCATCACTGTGCTAGAGACAAGGCACACATCACAAGTGGACAGCTCAGTGCATTTTCCCGTCTGGATATATCGAGATTAAGAAACTTCTCTCAAGCACCCAGAAGCCCACCTTGGGCCCCTTCCCGTCACTACTTGTATTAGTTTTGTAGGAACTATAATGACCACTAACTGGGTGGCTGAAACAATAGAAATGTCTTCTCTCACAGCTCTGGAGGTCAGAAGTTTGAAATCAGGGTGTCCACAAGGCTGCTTCCTTCATGGAATGGAGAGGGAGAATTTGTTTCATGCCCCTCTTTCAGCTTCTGGTGGTTGCCTGGCATTCCTTGGCTTGTGGATGCATCGCTCCAATCTCTGCCTCCATCTTCACATCTGGTTCTCCCACGTGTCCATGGTCTTCTTATAAGAAGACCAGTCATTGGATTAGAGCCCACCCTAAGCCAGTATGACTTTATCTTGACTAATTACGTCTGCAAAGACCTCTTTTCCAAAATAAGGCCACATTCTGAGGTTCTAGAGCAGTGGTTCTCAACCTTCCTAATGCCGCGACCCTTTAATACAGTGCCTCATGTGGTAACCCCCAACCATAAAATTATTTTCGTTGCTACTTCATAACTGTAATTTTGCTACTGTTATGAATCGTCATGTAAATATCTGATATGCAGGATGTATTTTCATTGTTAAAAATTGAACATAATTAAAGCATAGTGATTAATCACAAAAACAATATGTAATTATATATATGTTTTCTACAAATTGAACATAATGAAAGCATAGTGATTAATCACAAAAACAGTATGTAATTATATATGTGTTTTCCGATGGTCTTAGGCGACCCCTGTGAAAGGGTCGTTCGACCCCCAAAGGGGCCGCGACCCACAGGTTGGCGACCCACAGGTTGAGAACCGCTGTTCTAGAGGGACATGAATTTTGGGGTGACACTCTTCAACCACCTACACCCCTTCCCCCAGGGTAGCTACGACCCTGACTTCTCACATAGACCAGTTTCACTTGGTTTTGATAAACTGTGTAGAATGTAGGCTTTTGTTCATCTTTCATGAACATTCATGGTAAGATTCTTCCGTGGGGTTGTGGTGGTAGCTGTAATTTGTCCTTTTCCATTGACATGCAGTATTCCATTGTAGGACCATATGACTTTTTTAAAACCCATTCTCCTATTGATGAGCATTTGAATAGTTTCCAGTTTTATGCTACTATGAAGAGTGCTCCATGAACATTCTAGTACCTTTTCTAATTTCCGTTTATTTAACAGCCAATAACTAGACTATCAGGGCCGTGATGGCTGAGATTACTCTGCCCAACTTTTATGCTTTCAGATGGGGAAACCAAGGCCCAAAGAGGCCCAGGTCTGCCCAGTGAGTTGGATGGTAGAGTGGGTCTGGAATTCAGCGCTGGTCACCCCTGCACTAGTGACCCGTCCACTCTGCCAGCCACCCCTAATGTCAGTGCTTACAATCAAGGTCTCAGGAATCAGCTCAGGCCCCACCCTCTTACCCAATGCCTTCCATGTCCCCAGCAGTTCCTGCAGACCCTCCTCCTGGCCCCCCACTCCGGCCACCGCAGCCTCCCGACGCGATGCCCAGGGAGCCCGCCCACTCAGACCTCTTGGATGCTGCCTCCTCTTCCTCTTCTTCCTCCTGCCCACCCTGCTCCCCAGAGCCTGGGACAGAGGCCCCAGGACCTGAGCCAGTGGCGGCTGCTGTGGGAAGCGGTGTGAGTGGGGAAGGCAGGAGTGAGAAGGGGCGCCTCTACTGCCCCACGTGTAAGGTGACGGTGAACTCTGCCTCCCAGCTTCAGGCTCACAACACAGGTGAGTGTGCCCCGCCAGCTGGAGTCCGGGGGAAGGAGAAGGGCGGGGAGACTGCCCTTCACCAGATGGGGGCAGCTGGAATTTCTGGGCGCTTTGCTCAAGGACTTGGTCACCTAGACGTTATGCTCAGTTGTTACTGGGTGTGCATTTCGGGTCCTCCCACTAACGCTTGAGGGAGAATTGAGAAGAGAAGCAAGGACTGAAGGGTCACTGCAGAGACGACAGGAGACACCTCCTCCATCTCTCCTTAGGTCAGGCCGAGAGGGGGGGACTGAGATTCGAGAAGGAAGCTGACCAGTTACATTGCAAGAAGGCCCCCCCCCCCGGGGGAGGGTGGCTTGAAATGAGAGGACCTTGTGGAGATGGAAAGAGGAATCTCATGGCTGGTGGGGAGTGTATGTGCTGAGCAGCCTCAAAGCTAAAGGGACAACCAGACTGAGCTGGTTCGGAGGGGTCTCCGTGGCCTTGCAGCCCCTCCTCGGTGCTGACAGACTTTCTTCTCTCCTTCCACCAGGAGCCAAGCACCGGTGGATGGTGGAAGGTCAGCGAGGGGCTCCCCGAAGGGGCCGGGGCCGCCCAGTGCCCCGGGGAGGAGCTGGACACAAGGCCAAAAGAGTGACCGGGAACCGGGGGGGCCGGCAGGGGCCCAGCCCCCCTTTTCACTGTGCTGTCTGTCAGCTCCAGGTCAATTCAGAGACCCAACTCAAGCAGGTGGGAGAAGGGAGGCCGGGGACGAGGGTTGGAGCAGGGGTGAGGGAGTGGGCCCAGTGCCAGGGGAGGAGGAAGGAGGGAGCTGAGCAGAGAAGGTGGGTAGAGCAGGGCCAGGTGGAGGAAGAGGAACAACCAGGGTCAATTCAGAGACCCAACTCAAGCAGGTGGAGAAGGGAGGCCGGGGACGAGGGTTGGAGCAGGGGTGAGGGAGTGGGCCCAGTGCCAGGGGAGGAGGAAGGAGGGAGCTGAGCAGAGAAGGTGGGTAGAGCAGGGCCAGGTGGAGGAAGAGGAACAAGGCTAGTGGGACAGTGGGCTCCTGGAGACAGAGGCCAAGCCTTACCTCCCCTTCCCAGGGCCACGCCAGGTGATGCCCAATACATGTAGGTGCAATGTGTGAACTGTGGGTAGAGAAGGGTGAGCTAGTCGAGGACGATGGGGAAGTTGGGGGTCCTTGGGCTTCCTCATCTTGTTCCCAGTCTGTCTGTCTGCCTGTCTGTCCATCAGCACCTGAGCAGCAGGAGGCACAAAGACCGCCTGGCCGGGAAGCCCCCCAAGCCCTCCAGCCAGCACAGCAAGCTGCAGAAGCACGCAGCGCTGGCTGTGAGTATCCTCAAGGTATCTGTCTCCAGGCAAGGGGCTGGGACCCTGGGCAAGGGCAGGCGGGGAGTGGGCGCCTCATGGGGAGCTGAGGCAGGAATAAAGCCACCCCTTTCCGAGGCTGCCTGGGGCTGGGTTTTGGCTCTCTTGGGATCTGCCCAGAGGAATGTCCGGGAGGTGGGCCTGGGTAGGAATCTCTCGGGCAAGAGCGAGGGGTGGGCGTGCCATCTCCTGGAAACCATCTCTACCTCCGCCCAACACAGCCTCCTCCCTTGGCCCATCCCGATTCTCGTCCTTGGGGGCAGGAAGACAGGTGGTGGAGAAAGCCCTTTGGAACGAATGTCTGGGGGTGGGAAGGGAGGAGGATTTAGGTTTGGAACCCTAAAAGGCATGTGTATCCTGCAGCAGAAAGCCCAAGGACGGAGCCCAGGGCAGGGGGGTTTTCTGGGGTCACACTGTGTCCAGCCCTCTTTCTCCTTTGCAGTCGAAACTGGCCTTGCAGAAGCAACTCACCAAGACGCTGGCAGCCCGCTTCCTGCCTAGCCCGATCCCCACCGCAGCGGCGGCCATCTGTGCCCTGCCAGGGCCCCTGGCCCTCCGGCCGGCCCCCACTGCAGCCACCCCCCTCTTCCCGGCTCCCATCCTGGGCCCAGCTCTGTTCCGCACCCCAGCGGGAGCTGTCCGCCCTGCCACGGGACCCATCCTCTTTGCCCCCTATTAGCCCTTCCAGGGAGGCCAGGGCCGCCTTCCCAGCGGTCACCTTCCCCACCCTCCTCTCCCCAGGGCGCCTCCGTTCCTACATCCCGCAGGGGATTTTTTTCACCGCCGAGGGGTTCCTGACCAACCTAGGAAGAGCGGGGCTGGTTTGAAGGGCAGGTGCCCTTCACCCCATCTGACTGGGGATTCAACTATTACCCCCTGGCCCAAGGGCCATGCCCACCCTCAGTTCCCCAGCCTTCTAGTCCTGGGCTCCCCGCACTTCCAGCCCGTTGTACAGGGAGCAAACCGAGAAATCCCCAAGATCTATGCAAAATCCTAGCCCAGCCCCACGGTGCTCTCATGTCCCCCGCAAGACCTACCCCCACATGGCCAAGGGCCCTAGAAATCTTAACTGCCAGCCTGGGACAAGTCTGCGACTGACCCCGACTCCCGTGCTCTGGGAGGCCCTCCCCATTCGCCGGCTTCTCTGGAGAATGACACGGTGCGGGACGGGCTCTGGACACGATGACCACGGGGGCGTGGCGGAAGGCTGGAGGAGAAAGGCAGCCGTGCTGAGGTGGGGCACAGCCACGGTGCTGGAAGCTGTTAGGGGTCATCTCCAAATGACTGGTGGGGCTGTGGAAGGTGGTCATTATAGTTCCTCCAATCCCCTCTTAGCCTTTTACTGATTTCTCCTGAACCCCAGCTCTGGGGTGTGGGGGACACTGGGTCTCCCTCGGACTATGGACCCAGCTAACACTGAATCCCCCGCCAGGGTTCCCAAATGAAGAGCTTTCTTCTCTAGCTATTCAACCCAAACTGGTCCCTCGCACAATTCAGCTTTCCCCCCCTCCCAACAGACCAGCACCCCAAGCCTCCCTCACTGTGAAGCTGAGTGTTGGGATCCAGTCTGGTAACCACAGACCCATCCTCATGCTAACGTCACAACCTCCATCCTATCCCAGTATTGTCCCCCTCACCCCACAATATGGGACTTTGCCAGTATCCACCTGTATCTTTTTTTTAAAAAAAGGATATTTCCAATGGGAAAATAAGGGGCGGACGGGAGGGAAACTTTTTGATAACAGTTGTGGTTTTATTGTGTCCAATGCATCAATAAATGAACTTTAAGCCCGAGCCTGTCTATGCCCTAACTTGACTTGCCCAGCCTGGGACCGCCTGCCCCTGCTCACCTCCCCTGTTTTGGGAAGGGGCATGCACTGGAAGCGGCCCGGCTATAGGGCTCACCTATGGTAGCGGTGCCCATCAGAAGCCCGGAGAGAAGCACGAAGCAGGCCCAGGACGTTGTGGGTCATGAGCTCACCTTACAGCATGTTGAGAGTGTAACCACCCTTCTGAGCCCCAACAGATCTGTCCGCTCCTGAGAAGTGACTACTTGTTTGCCTTGTTCTGTTGAGGCATCTGAGGTAAGAAGGGCTAGAGGAGCACCTTGCCCAGCCTTCACCATGGCAGCATACTAACTTATAACAGGGAATTTATAAATAAAGTCCAGCTAATAGCTGAAAACAACCACAGGACGGAGTGAAGACCAGCCCCCGGGGGTGTGAGGTTCCCCAGTGAGCACTAAGCAGCCAATCTGGCAACTAGAGTAGATAGTGCACTCCTGCCCCCTGGCGGTTGTCGGAGAGCAGAGTCCCAGCCTCCAGGGCCGGTAGGCATAGCACCTTGAAGAGGGAGAAGAAACAAAGGGGACAGTCAGCTGGCCCGAAGCCAGGGGCATTATAAAGTCAGAGGGCTGCAGAGGATCTGGAAGGCCATCTAAGCAACTCCTGTCACTGTACAGATAAGGAAACCAAAGCCCAGAGAGAAAAAGTCCTGCTGGGTAACAAAGCCTCTAGGTGCCTCAGCCCAGTCATCATTCCGTTCCACCTCAACCAATGAAGCAGGAAGAGGAAGTGAAACAACTGGGGCGGGAGGTCAAGTAGAAAATCACACTTCCCAGCCACGGTACAGACGGGAACAAGGTCAGGGTGCTGGGTGAGGAGGCACCCCTAACACGAGGACGCACACGCGTACACGATGCCTGGACGCCCTTCCCCTAGAGTCCAGGCTGGTGCCGTAAGTGATTGTGTGTGTGTGTGTGGCAGAAGCCCAGAGGTGTGGGACCCGTGATCAGAACCAGACCCTGGACGTGGCACTTCTGTGGGGCAGCTCTGCTTCCCAACCAGGGCAGGTGGGAGGGACCCTGACCCACATCTGCCCCAGGTCACAGAGGGGCAGATGGGATGGAAGCTGGGGTGGAGGGAGAGGTTGGGGGCACTAACCTAGATTATCTGCACTTCCCGGAGTTAGGAGGGAGCCAAAGTGGCCCGAGCCCGGAACAGCCCAGCTGCCTGCCCTAGTGGGAGTTGCCTTTCCCTTCAACCCCATCTTCCACAGCCCCAGAAGCTGGCCTGGGGTTGGGGAGGTGAAGAAGGGATGGCAGCTCTTCAGCCATCCAAGGAGCCGCTGCCCTTGTTCTTACGGCTGAGGGGGAAGGCGGACTTGCTCTGGGGCTGGGTCATCTTGCTGGCCAGGTAGACGAAGGGCTCCAGGAGGGAGCGGCGGTCAGCCACAGACACCTCCCACAGCTTCACCTTCTCCGACTTGGCCCAATGCTGGGCCACGTCTGGGTCCACGCGCCGCTGCTCCTGCAGGTCGCATTTATTACCAAGGACCACGATGGTGACCTGGGGAAGAGGGACAGAGTAGAGACTTGTGGATGTGCCACGGGCCTTAGAAATGGGTGTGAAGGCTGGCCACCACCTAGGAGTCCTAAGCGAAGGAAAGTTTTAATGGCTGATATCTCTTCCTATATTAGAAATTACGAAGTGAGGAGAGGGAGACCATTGCTTTTTCCTCGCCTTCCTCTATTCAAATTCTGGCCTCCGTCTGGCCCTCCCTCCAGGAGTTCCATTACAAGCCCTGCATCACCCATGTCTGCTCATGACCAGCAGTCAGTTCAATTTTGGCTAAATAACATGAGGAAGCACTCCCAGAATGCCCATAGCTGACTGGGGGACTTAAGAAAAGAAGGGCTTTCACAACTAAAAATATGGAGCCAGTAGAAAGAAGGGGGGGCGGGGCTTCACGTGTTAGGCCGGGGAGCTCTTAAACTGAGGCCTTTCCGGCTGAGCTGCCTCAGCATGGGGCCACCTCTGTGGTTCGTGAAGACACCTTCCAGTGGCCTTGATCCCTCCTCCAGCTCCTGACCCACCGCCTAGAAAGTGAGTAAAACACAGAGCCATGCCAAGCCTCCCGAAGCCAGCCCCGGGCCCGCTCTCTCCCACCACCGGGGCTCCCACACACACCTCCTTCTTGTCCTTGGATTTGTCGATTTCCTTCTTGAGCAGCTCCACGCGCTGGAAGGACTCCCGGCTGTCTGTGCTGTAGACCAGGACGTAGCCGTCCGTGCAGGAGAAGCAGTGCCGCGGCAGCTCCGCCCCGTCCCGGAGCCCGCGGGTGTCATAGAAACGCACCTGCTCCCGCACCCCCCGGTCAGTTTCAATGGAGCCCACGTAGATGTCTTCCTGTGTCTCGATCATCTCAGAACCTGAGATAAAACGAGGACACTTGTTTGTAGGGAGAAAGGAGACGGGATAACGTGAGTGACTGAGGATATCCTAACGGTCTGGCCAGACAGGGAGGGAAAGGAATGCGGGGGCTGAGAAGAGGGGGCCAGACCGAATCCAGCAGGACTGGAGCGATTTGGGGGAACAGACATGAACCTCATGGTCACACCATGCTAAGCAAAAGTGAGACTTGGGAGCTTTTCCTCCTTATCTCTGATATTGGGTTTCCTTCCTCCGGGTCTCAATGTTGTAGAGCTGGAGGGCATGATGTAGACTTTACTCCAGGAGCAGGTTTTGGCTTCTCTGTGTTATTAAATCCTACTCCTTATTCTTCAGCTTCTTCCACCAACCCCTCCCCACCCCCCACCCCCCAACAAAACACTCACCCACTACATGGTTCCCGTAGAGAAGCTGCTCCAGGATTGACGTTTTGCCCACAGATGCCTGGCCACACACGACCACCTTGCAACTCTTCCCCATGCTGGGCCTTCAACCTTAAAGAAAGCAGCACCCGGGTGAGGCGGATCAAAACAGAGCCCAAGTTCTGAGCTGCACGGGCAGCCTCGGGGGCCCAGCACTGCCCTCTCCTCTAGTCAGGGTGTATGTCAGAGATGATGTGTCTCACTCGCCCAGGCCGGTTTTGCTCAGTGGATAGAGCGGTGGCCTGTGGACTGAAGGGTCCCGGGTTCGATTCCGGTCAAGGGCACATGCCCGGTTGTGGCCTCAATCCCCTGTAGGGGGTGTGCAGGAGGCAGCCGATCAATGATTCTCTCTCATCGTTGATGTTTCTATCTCTCCCTCCCTATCTGAAATCAATAAAAATATATCAACAAAAAAAGAAATGATGTGTCTATGTCTCCTACTGGGCAGGGAGCTGTGCCGTTTTCACCTTCGCGATTCCCCGTAGCTGGCCAGTGACTTGGTGCTCACTGTACGCTGCCCTAAGCGGGGAAGAGACGCTGGTTAAAAGGAAACACCGGCGAGGTCCCTCTCCATGCACAGGACTTGGGAGCACCAGTTACTGCAGGGAGCCCGTGCTCGGCTCCCCTCTTTAACCCTGACCCCGGAGGAGAGATAAGCGGGAATACTATTGTGTGTGGATCTGTCTTAAGCTACTCTTCCTGGTGAACAAATAAGAACATTTTACTTTCCTGTATGACTTATCTAGACAACGAATTCCCTCTGGTTCCTAGTCAAGTCCCGTCCAAGAGTAAGACCACCAGACAAGAAAGAAGTGAAGGGATCTGAGGAAGGACAGGCTCCGGAAAGGAGACGATTTTTGCGGCCCCTGGGCTGGCGGACCAGAGAAGGCTCAGACACAGAAACCCCTTCTCGCCAGGGATCGCGGCGGCTTCCCACCAGCAGCCCCAGATCCCTCCAGGGAACAGAGAGACCATTCCCCAAAGGGGTTCCAAACAGAACCCTCTCCGGAGGAAACTCCGGAGACAGGCCCTCCTACCCCGCCCCGAGGGCCCCATACACTGAGCTCCCCGATGAGCAGGTACCCCGAGAGCGAGCCCGCGGGGCCTCCGCCACAGGTTTCCCCACGAGGGGACGCCCCCACCCCCACCCCCGGAGGAATCCGTGGCGGCAAAGACCTGCCACCTAAAGCGGCCCCGGCG